AACCATCACATGTTAATTAAAAACACAATAACAGAATTTACAAGAGAAGTAAGCTGTGGGTATTTGGCTGACTTTTGTTTGCTGCATGGATCTGGCAGATGGGTGTAGGCAGGAAGTTCTGGGACCTTGACAGACGCTGACCATCAGTGGGTGTTGGTGGCCCATTTGTCCCAGTTGCTGAGATGACCACATTGTCCTTGTGAAGAGCAAACTGAGAAATCTAAGTCCCTACATCAGGGAACACAGTAGAGCCCGGGGACAGAGCTTTTAGAAAACAGGGAACACAATGGCTACCTGTGATTCTGAATCAGGGAGATTAATTTGACTGGCCAGACAAAAGGTTTCTTTTTGTCTTCAGAGATATGTTTGTCTGTCTGCAAGGGCAGAGACTAAAGGCATCTTGCCACAAACCCCTGCCGCTCCCTCATAGTGGGTAAGGACAAAATGTCCACACACTGCCATCTGGTGGTCGTGATTTGTCACTGCATCTTGAATTAGCCTCTAGACTTCGCAAAGGGCTGGCATGCTACCAGTTGTAGCAATGCAACAATGAAAAAATATGGTTTTTGGCCTTGAGGGACTCACAGTCTAATGGCATAAATAGGCATGTTAATGTTTTAAGTAAAAGGTGAAAGGTGGTATGGAAACACAGGACCTCTGTCTGGATGTACAGGGAGGAACTCCTTCGAGTTGAGTTTGAAGCATCCCTTGTAGGTGGTACCACTGTGACGAAGAGGAGGAGGCTCCTTCTAAACAGAGAGAACAACCATGCAAGGCATTTGTGGAGTGTCACTAGCGCATGACTTGTTGATAAGGGGTATGGGAAAGAAGGGACCGGAAAGAGCTGAGATCAGTAATATAGATCCCAGGAGCCTTGAAATGCCTAAGCAAGGTGTCAGGACTGCTTCAGAACATTAAACAAGAAGATAATGGGTTCAGATTTTGGTGACCCAAATGTGGGCCCCCAGTGTGTACCCATAAGCCTTCCAAATGCTCACCAATGGAAACCCATGATCTGAAATAGATGCAATCATAGCAGTTATGATTAAAGTTAGAGCTGACAGGCCAAAAGTCATCTCCATGCAGTGTCCCTCATCTGTGGCACGTGTGAACACCATAACAAGTCAGTGGCTCAGTGGAGTCACGTGTGATAACCGCTGCTGCAGGAGAGGGATCCCTGACATAATATGATTAGACCCTTTGTGGTTTTAAAGTCTGCTAAGTCCAGTCTATAACATAGAATATTTATAAATCAGGTCCAAGATCTTTCCTTATCCCCTCTTCTAGAGCCATTTATAGATATTTAGTTTCATGGCAATCCCTATTTTATCATTCTGTTTCCAGACACAACTCATATCCCCCAGTCCTACTTCTAGCTTTATTTTGTGAGAGCAAGGTGTAGTTCAGCCATCTCTTCAGTCTCTGTTAAGCATCCCTTGTCTGCCACGCCGGGTATCAATTCACATTCAGTATCTGAAGTCTATGTGTGATCCCCAGCCCACAGATAGTTTACCCCGCGGTAAGGAGAAGTAGTGCCTTGTGTCTATCTCACGGCTGTGTTCATTCTAAAAACTGCACTCTGTAAGGGCTCGGAAGCTATCTTCTGAGTGGCAGTGGCAGCACGGCCCCAGTTTGCAAGAGTTTCTGTTTTGTGACGACGGTGCGTGACTGCGGCATGTCCGTTGGCACAGGTGAGAAATTTCAGACTGATACTTGTCTAAGAATGCGTAGCCTCCTGGTGGGCAAAGGTGATTCCATTCCCAAATGCACTTTCTGATGCAAAGCACAAATTCCCACCCACCAAGCAGAATTTCCTCGGATTCCCCGCTCCTGCTCCCTGTCTTTACTCACGCTTTGCCCACTCTCTCTGCACGGTGGGGTCAGTTTGCTCTCACTTTCCCACGTAGCTCCTCTGTTTCGAGGCTGTGTCCGGAACTGCCTCCTTCTTGCCATCTGGCCACTATCTGCCGCATCTTCCCACCCGGCCCCCACCTTTCCTTGGAGGCCTTCACACAGAGATGCTAACTCACTCAGGGACTTTTTCCAGGGCAGGCTTTTTTGCACAGCGTGCTCCCCGGGGCTGAAGAACTACTTTGACAGCAAATCTTCCTGTAGGTTCATGGTTATTTCCCGGAGACCTCCCAGTTCTTTTATGTGGTCACTGCCAAGTTCAATAAACATTAGTGAATATCACACTTCACAGCTAATGCTTTGAGGCTGTTCTATCCTTCATGAGAGGAGACGGAAATGCAACACAGCCTCCTGCTTCTGATGACTAGAAGAAATGAGGCAGTGGAATAGGACACTCGGTGAGATTCTCCTATTCAGTTACTCCATTCAGTTGCACAGCTCGTCATTTCCATATTTGCCTCCCTTCAGCAAACCATACTCTATGGAGAAAGGAAAACATAGTGAGCCACGTATATATCAATTGTCTTTTCAGTGGATTTTCCCTTATAAGGATCCCTTTGAATATGCAAAATATTTGGGATCTGTGAGTTTCTTCAAAGTCAGGTAGGTGGCTACACCTTTTTTTTTCCTGGAGTCATTTCAAGTGAGTGTCACTGAGGTGGAGAGGCTCATGGACATGGGCTTCTCACCTCCTGCTGCAGGTGCTGGTCTCTCTCTGAAGCTCCCTGAGTACAGATGGACAGACCTGAATGGAGAGATGGACGGTGTTAGGTCATCTCTAGACAGCTCTACCTCTCCCAGGAATGTGCTAGGGCTCAGGACCTCAGTCACCCCATCTGTGGAGAGGGGCTTGACTTCATTGTCTAGAATCTGAAATTTCTGACAATGCCTTGAATTATTGAATTATTTATTTCAGGTTTGGTTTCAAGGATCCCTCTCCAACTCAAAAAGAAAGAAAGAAAGAAAGAAAGAAAGAAAGAAAGAAAGAAAGAAAGAAAGAAAGAGCAAATCTCTTTGATGGCTGATTAAAATAGCTTAGTCATTTTCAACCAATGATAGTTGCATGTTGACTTTGGGTCTCTCTTGATGGTGCTGCAAAAGCCCCTGTGACTGGCCTTAGCAGACTTTAAAACCACAAAGAGTCTAATCATATTATGTCAGGGATCCCTCTCCTGCAGCAGCGGTTATCACATGTGACTCCACTGAGCCACTGACTTGTTATGGTGTTCACACGTGCCACAGATGAGGGACACTGCATGGGGATGACTTTTGGCCTGTCAGCTCTAACTTTAATCATAACTGCTTTGATTGCATCTATTTCAGGTCATGAGTTTCCATTGGTGAGCATTTGGAAGGCTTATGGGTATACACTGGGGGCATGTCTATGGAGGCCAGAGCATAAGATTTCCTAGGAGCTGGGGTAACAGTTGTGATATTCCTGATATGTTAGGAACTGAATTCAAGGTTCTGAAACAGCAGTACACACTCAACACCGAGCTCTGCCTACAGCCCCTAAACATGGCTATGGCTAAGCTGACTGGGGTTCTCACCTCAAAATACAGACAATACACTGCCTACCAGGGGTGTTTCCACTGAAAAGCCAGGAACAGAAAGGGTTGCTTTTTGGTGCTGTTTCCATAGCTACATTATGAATGTGGTACAAGAAGAAAAGTACAAGGGAACATAAAACATGTCGAGAAAACAAGTTTGGTCCTAAAGAAAATATTTTCTGGCAGTCACAGTACAAGATGGATGATATTGAGGATTGTGTCCGATACCGTTTGCAGTTGCTGAGAGGTCACAAACCATCATTATTCACTGAGTTTTGCTACAACTTGCCAGGTACAGACTGTGATTTTAAATAAATACTTTACTTCCAATCATATGATTACCAGTCAAGATCTATTATGTTTTGGTTCCATAAGAACAGATCCTAAGAAGGGGTCGTGTGTGTTGACAGAATGCTCTGACACACCTCCCAGGGGCCAGTGGAGGGAGAGAGAAAGCAGGGGGAGAAGGCTGGAGACCAGTGTGATCTGTTGGAAGAGCCAACCCTATTCTGAGAGTTAGCCATCCTGGACAGTTGTCCCAACCTGATGCAAGTGGTCCATACTTCTGAACTCTGGGACAGTCATTCAGGGAGTATATCACTTCAGGCTCGTTATAACACCTTGTGTCTTGGGTGATCCTTCTCCCATCAGGCATTCAGCTGGCAGATGGGATCAGTATGGAGCACAGTAAGCTTCTACTGTACAGCTCATTCTAAGTGCTCTATGGGAATCCTAGCTACAGACAACAGAAACTCTGATGAATATAGATCATAAGAAGAAGGTATTGGGAGGAACAGAAGGCTAACTGATTCAAGAGAAGGCAGGAGCAGATGTGGGTCATGGGCAGAAGCCAAGGCAAGATCAGAGGTCAAGAATGTAGAGGACTTGGTCCTATGGGGTGCTTCCATCTATAATTAATAGACCTGTACAACATCTCACCTGGATGCCATTGGGCATTACCATAGTCACTTTACTCCTTTTTATTCCTGTCCACCCGTCTGTCTGGGCAGAAGCACCTGGTTAGCCAGTTCTAGTTCCCATACTCCTCAGGTATGGGCTAGAATAGAGAGTGACATGCCTCCTTTCTTTTGGATGTTGGGAAGGCATGGTATCTTACCAATGCCTCTTTCCATGATCACATCCTCAGAAGGAAGTCATGGGGCTGGGAGCTGAACAGAAATCTTTCATGGATGGCCAAAGTACCTCCTTTTATAGTTGCATAAATGAAGGTGACAAGAAATAACTTTATTAACCCATTTAGAGAGGTTAAGAATCTTCATTTGGGGCTGGAGAAATGGCTCAGAAGTTAAGAGCACTGGCAACTCTTCCATAGATTCTGAGTTCAATTCCCAGCAACCACATGGTGACTCACAACCATCTATAATGAGGTTTGGTGCCCTCTTCTGGAGTATAGGCATATATGCCAGAACACTGTATACATAATAAATAAATATTTTTAAAAGCAACCAAAAGCATAAAAAAACAAAGAATCTTCATTTGTTTACTTACTGAATATGTATTGATTCGTTCTAGGTACTTTTAGGCGTGAGGACTCTACAAGGAGCAAGCTAAGCCAAAGGCCCCATCCTTGCACAATACAGGTTTTTATGTATTGTGGGACGGGAGAGTGAGGCAGAGAATGGAAGACAACTCGAAATCATGATGTATCAGAGGGAGATGGAGATACTAGCAGGTAGTACCATGGAAGGAGTGTGGGGAGAGATCTGCACCATGGAGAAGAGTCATCTTAATTTGATTGTTAAAGTCAGTCTTGCTATGACAGTGACATCAGAATCATTACACGGAGAGGAAAGGGAAGGAGGACAGGTGCTGGGCAGAGTGCTGGGCAGAGGAAGTAGCAGGAAGAAGAGGGTGATGTGGAGGCAGAGTGCTAGGCACCAGCACACCTGGCACCTTCAAGGACTAGGAGGGAAACCAAAGAGGAGGGGGCAGGGGGATCAAAGGAGCGAACAGCGGGAGGATATAAAGGGGGTGAATCATGGGGACTTCGGAGCTCATAAAATGCTCTGAGTAGAAGACTACCACAAGCAGACTTATATTTGTAAGAGTGGGGTATGAGAAGGCGTGGACTCTGGTTCGGAGGTTACTGCAATGAGCACTATGGCGTGGAGGGTAGTGTCTGTGGAGATGTCACAAAAATAACAAGAATGTGCCTGTGCAGTGGGCTGAATAATTGCCCTCAGACATGCCCCTGTCCTGATATTGGGAAACTGAAAGATAAACAAGATTTTGTAGATGCAATTAAATTAAAGATCTTGAGTTGGGGAGATTATTGTGGGCTGGGGTGGACATATTGTGATCTTAAGGGTGATTATAATGATTTATAGTGGGCAGGATAAGAAATCAACCTAACAGATCATCAGTGGATGAAATGGGTAACACAGGAAGGGAGGAAGGGAGGAAGGGAAGGAGGAAGGAGGGAAGAAGGGAGGGAGGGAGGGAAGGAAGGAAGGAGGGAAGGGGAGAGGGAGGGAAGGAAAGAGGAAGGAGACAGAGAGGGAGACAGAGACAGACTCATAGAGAGACAAACACATAAAGAGAGACAGAGACATACAAAGAGAGAGACAGACTAATAGAGAGAAAAAAGCATAGAGACAGAGACACAGAGAGAGACAAACACATAGTGACACACAGAGATACACACAGAAAGACAGAGAAACAAACACACAGAGAAAGACAGACACATGCACACACACACAGAGAGAGAGAGAGAGAGAGAGAGAGAGAGAGAGAGAGAGAGGGAGAGAGAGAGATGTTATTGAATCATAAAAAAACAGAAGAAATCTTATTTGTAATACCAAGGACAAGCCTGGAGAACAGTTTACTAAGGTGCATAGCACAGTTACTGGTACAGAAGGAATGAGCAGCATGGCCTTGCTTCTGTGAGGAGTCTAAAGCTATTAAACCAACAAAAAACTGCAGGGTCTATTTAACAAGGACTTGGCAGATGAAAGAAATAAGAATTTTGTTTGTGGAGAGTGCACAAGTTGTGGAGATTTGATATCTACCACAATGACTTAGTTAAAACATTTTAAATTTGAAAGAAAAGGGGTCCTGAGCACTCTTCTTTCACAAAAGGGTCTTTGAGTCAAGTAGTGAACATTTCACTTAGCTTGATTGTGGTAGCTATTATACAGGACACACCTAAACTCAAATATCACACTGTACTTCTTACTATGTACAATTTTCATGTTTGATTACACCTCAATACAGCTGGGAATAAGAAGAGAGAAGATGGCAGAACCAAGGGAGATGTTACACTGCTGGCTTTGATGATGTAGAGATTATAAACCAAGCAAACAAGTTGGCTTCTAGAAGCTAGAAAAATCAAAGAAATTGTTTTGCAGGTCTCCCTGGCGTGTAGCCTTGTAGAGAGTTGATCTTCAGAAGCAGAAGAGGAAAAAACGGTGTTTTCACTCATTGTCTTTGTTGTAATTCGTTACAGCAGTGAGAAGACCCAGATACACTCTGTTTTAGGGAGCAGAACAAACCGTGTTCACTGGGAACTGGCTACAGATGTGAGAAGGAGCCAGAGGTAATGATGCAAGTTTGTGAGGGAGAAATTGGAAGGAGGGAATGTCTTCCACTTTGATGACATTGTCACAGTCCATCCAGCAAGTTCCCTTCCATTCAGAATATGGTAGGCATTGATCTGGAAAAGTGTAGCATGGATTAATATAAACCCAGAGCTTCAATCTGGGTTCAAGCTTCAAGCTGAAGATCAGAAAAGCAAAGCAGCTGGCCTCTAGCTCTTACCTCTACTTCAGACTGAAAGGGCTGTGCTCTCCTCAGTGTGGCTGAAAAAAAACTTCCGTGAGACCCTTTGCTTTTTTACTTTTATACCCTGATTGTACTGGGATTAAAGGCATGTGGTCCCAAGTGCTGAGATCACCTTTGTGTGAGCTGTTTATTTTTAGACTGGATCAATTTCATGTAGCTCAGTGTGGCCTTGAACTAACAGAAATCCATCTGTTGTCTATTGAGTCCTGGGATCAGAGTTATGTGCCACCACCACCTGGCTCTATGGCTAGCTAGTATAGCTGCTGGAATTAAAGGTGTGTGCCACCACCACCCGACTCTATGGCTTGTGGCTAGCTTTGCTTTCTGTACCCTCAGGCAAACATTAGAAAATCATAAATAATGTATCATCACAGAAAAGTGTTCATGGGGCAACTCCCAGCTTAGTGGCTAGATGGATCTCTTCATAGGCACCACCCTACACTGCTTAAATGCCACCATTGAGAGTTGCTGTATGGCCTCTGTCTGTCTGATGGCTTTAGGAAGCATAGGTTGGATAAGACTAGACAAGTGCATTTTATTGTAAGGCAGAGATAAGAAAATATCTGGATCATAGAAGTTATTTTCAGGTAAACTGTGTTGACTGGATGGCACTGCTGCTCTGTTAATGTCACCTTTGGAATGAAGGACATTTTTCCTAAGACCATCACTTATAATGAACCTACATCTCTTAAGATTATCCTTGTCTGGTGACATGTCACTCTAGAGTGGTGGGAGGAGCTAGAGGATGCCACAATCCTAACTCTGCTACTCCCAAGAGACCATGTTCTTTCTGAGGTTCACCATACCACTGTACATCCAGGATACCTCAGCCAAGGTTTTCCAAGAACCTAGCATGTCTGGTTCTTGCCTGTGTCTGTTATGTGTCTGTCAGAGGTATGGCTGAGCTGCTCAGACATCCAGTGTCTCAGCACTGTCTACCTCTGTTTCCAAGGAGCAGACACTGACCTATGCTTTTCTTCTCTCCCCTGCCATCCTATCAGGCTTTATTCCAACCACTGTCCAGGATGCAGTTGGCAACCTTGCTTCTTTTCCAACTGGCTGAGCAAGGAGGACAGACTCCTTTCAAGGGGGCCCAGGGCAGATGGCCTGCATCCTTTCCAGACTGGGTATGGAATGCCAGACTCAGTGAGAAGCCCTGCTCTGATGCGGAGCTCTGGGAGGTGGACAGAGAGGCCAGGTTCTGGCCACCTTCTGTTCTTGTTCACCTAATGATGCTTTTGTGGAGAGACAAGGAGAACAGGCAATTCAAGGAAGGAAGAGATTAGTGCAAGAGGCATGGCAAACATCTGTGACCTTCTGGGAGGAAGTTTCCATGAGAATAAAAAATAAATAAAATAAAATAAAACAAACACTGGGCTCTTATCTCCCTAGTGGAGGGCAAGCCAGCCCTGGCGAGGATCTGGAACCTACCCAGACTGTGTGACTGGAGTTCTAGGTCTGCCACTTCTGCTCCTTTCTGACTGTGGCAGACATGGCTCATCTGGCAGCATCCAGACTGAACTACTTGTGTTGAGTATTATGAGATGAGTATTCTAGAGACAAGCAAGGCTCCCATAAGTGAACAAAAGGATCAAAACCACATAAGCCATGTTCTTGGGTACATTATAGATGTTACATCTTTCTTTGGCTTCTCAAAGGGCCATACTGATAAAACAATGATTCTGGCCAATATTTTTATCAACAAAGAATGAATATCAACATCATAGTAATTTATTAAGACCGTTGGAGGGATCTCTAAGACATCTCTGATAGGAAACAGTAACCATCATTATTTCCTGGCTTTTGAACTGTTTCTACCCAGGTTTTTTTTTCTTATAATCCCCCACTAGTCCAATAAATATGGCTTCCTTATTGTTCATTGTGGAAGAATAGAAAATCTTAGAATGATGGTATTCCTGGGAAGAGCAGGCACCACCCTTAGCAGGCACTCAGCATTATCACCCTTAGAAAGTACTCAGCATCATCACCCTTAGAAGGTACTCAACATCATTACCCTTAGAAGGTACCCATCATTATCAGCCTTAGAAGGTACTCAGCATCAGGATCACCCTTAGAAGGCACTCAGCATCATCACCTCCTTACGCTCAGCGCATCTCACCCAGCTTGTCTCTGTTTTGTTGGTCCTGTCTCCTATTCTTCTGTCAATAGCCCTTCATGTTCTCTTTTCTGGAGATCAAACTAAATTATTTTCATTTTCACTGCTAATGTTTTACCTATTTCTCAGGAGCTGTCCTCAGAGGCAACATTCTTATCAGAGAATTTACTTTTGTCCTTTTGTCTCAGACAGCAGACGTTTCCTTCCTCAGAGAGATTGTGAAAACTGTTAAGGTAGTAAAGGCTACTGTCTCTAGAAATTTCTAAGTAGCTGGTAGTGACTCCCACAAAGATAAGAATGTTCTTCTCTTACCACATTTACACCCCATTGCCTGGGGTCTGTGCTGTTTGCTGCTTGCTTTATTTTATTTTATTTTATTTTACTTTTTGTTTCAGTGCTATAGTATATTTCACAAAATGTTCAAAATGGTAATTAATCTAAGCTATGCACCTAAAAAGAGATAAAATTGCTTGCCAGCTTATGAGAAAGAGATATACACTGGTGAGCCAATTCTGGGAATTACAAATTTTCTGAGGAGGGTCTTTGGAATATGGCATATTCACCAAGTGATGGGAGAATTGGAGGTGGTTGGTGATTCAGGTAAAGAGAATGGGAGGAGAAGGCTAAGAGAGGATGAGGGCGGCTTGGGGGATGGGTTTGAAGGAACAGATTATTGGGAAGAGGAAAATACAAAATCACAGCCTGGCTCACTCAATAGACATGGCAGAGAGGAAAGCTTGGGTCAGCTGAGTCCCTTTTAACCTCAGTATGCCGGTGTATCCTGGTGTTTTTGTTGCTTCACCAGCAACCTAATGTCAACCCTGATTCCCAAGCAATAATGATCTCATTCAGAGGCTGATGGGAGGTAATGAACTGGAATGCTGATCTTGGTACTGATAGTGCCCTGTGTGGTAGGAAATAAAAGCTTGGACATCTCAGGCTGGTTTGTTCAGGTAGTGCAGGTTTATACTCACAGCCTTTGTCAACATCTCCTGTAGTAGATGGGATTAAGAGGCAGTGTTTCTGTGAGGACTTCGAGAGCTGCAGACATTCACAGCTGTGGGTATGTGTGACCATTTCTGGAGGGGAGGAGAGGGTAGCTTTCTTATATACTGGTACTCTGTGATTAATATCATGGTAAGTTCCAACATTCAAAAGGGATGCCATCACACTGTGACTCCACGGTTGATGTCTGGGTGGATAGGTACAGATACACACACACACACACACACACACACACACACACACACACACAGCACATCACAGTCAAATCAGTTATCTATTGGGAGCTTTTTTTTGTTTCACTTAAAAAGTGGTCTGTTTATTGCAACTGTCTTTTCCTTTAACAACTACAACCCACCTCTTTCCATTTTAACGTTAAGGGCATACTGTATTTTTTTTATTTAAATTAGAAACAAGCTTGCTTCACATGTCAATCCCAGCTCCCTCATCCTCCCCTCCTCCCCTGCCCCAGCCCCCCCAACCAACCCCCACCCAGTCCTCACTCCTCTCCCCAGGGAGGGTGAGGCCCTCCATGGGGGGATCTCCAGAGTCTGTCATTTCATCGGGGCAGGGCCTAGGCCCTCCTTGGGGTTGTTTTTACTTTACTTTCATTTGGATATCCCTCAGTTTTTGGTAAATTTCAGAATTTTACTTCCAATGCACCAGTTTGTCTCAATCCTGACAAGGAAAATAAGGAGAGAAATTGTTTGCCATGATCTGAGAAGAAAACAGGGAAAATGTTTGTCATCCTTCTGCCTCTGCAACTCCCAAGAGAGGTACAGGGCATGACGGTGACAACAGAAATCAAAATAAAGGAACTCCAGGGAAAGATAGAAACTCCGAGGAAGAGTGTATGTTCTGGGCTGCTACAGGCTCACCCTAGACCTCATCCAGGCATTTTCTTCTCTAGGGAAAGGGGATTTAGCTCAACAAAAGGAACATTCTTACTGTTCTGCATATTAAAACTAGCAACTCTTTCCTTGTAATTTACTTCAAATTGCTTCAGTATGTACTATGGCTAGAATATAAGAGAAGGGATCGGTCTGTGCCTTGCTTAGGTGAGGCTGTGTTTTCGATTTTCACTGTGGCTGACTGTGAACGCGTCTTTCTTTGTCGCCTGTAGCTAGATTAATGGTAGCTATCTCATGGGACAGTGGGTGAATTTGGAATAATACAGAAGAGTATCTGCTCACTGACAGTCCAGAACATACACTCTTCCTTGGAGCTTTCATCTTTCCCTGGAGTTCCTTTATTTTGATTTCTGTTGCCACAGTCATGCCCAGTACCTCTCTTGGGAGTTGCAGAGGCAGAAGGATGACAAACATTTTCCCTGTTTTCTCCTCAGATCAAGGCAAACAATGTTAATTATCATACTTTCCATGTAAAATTTATTTTAACTGGATGTTTAAGATTCACGTTTGTAGGGCCACCTGTTGATGTTTTGAGATAGGCGTACATTGTGAAACGTCAGGGAAAATGAGGCTACCTCCTTAAACATTTGTTCTTTCTTTATGGAGAAACTCACATCCGTTCTATTAGTGCCCGAGTCTACTTTTCATCATTGCAACAAAGAGCCTGCGAAGGGCGTATTGAAGGGGGTATGGTGTGCCTTGTGTTGCTTCGCTTGTTCTATTGTTTCTGGGCTATGCTGAGGCAGTATGCATTGTGGATGAAGGGTACAGGGGATCAAAGCTGCTTCCTCAGGAAGAGAGAATGGGTGAGGACAAGGTCCCCTTGAAGTCACACAACCATGATCAAATTCCTTCAACAAGGTCTCACTTTCCAACAGTCCACCCAGCTGCGTGATTGGTCATAGTCCAGTCACTGGCTGAAGCACCACTGACTGGGGACCAAACCATCATGACAGGAACCCGGGGATGTTTGCTACCAATACCATAACAGCTACTCCTTAGAAACATGTGGTGCCTTGGCATCATCTATAGTCACACTACTGTTAAGCACTTGAGGGCTTTCTGTGCCTGTCAGGCTACACCCTTAACCAGGTTTTCCCACCCATCCCTCCCCTCTGCTCTTCCCAGCCTCTGGCGACAACATCCTCTTTACTGGTATGAGACACACTTTTTAATTCACTTATGAGATCAATCATGTGGTACTCATTGATTATTTGGTATCTAAAAGGTATCATATTTTTGTGGTTAAATAATTTTACTTTCTTTTCTTTTTTGCCATTCGATGGAGGTGGACTTTTCTGTCCCGTCAGTCAGTTCCAAAGTAACCACACAGAGACTTATTACTAATTATAAATGCTTGGCCGATAGCATAGACGTGTTTCTAACTACTAGCCCTTATAACTTGAATTAACCCACTTCATCTATGTACTGCCATTTACCTCATCTATGTGTTTTTCTTGTTGCTTCTTCTGAGTCTGGCTAGCAACTCCTGAAACCACTCCTCTTCCCTCTTCATCCTAGATTCTTTTAGTCTGGTTCTACCACCTAACTTCATTCTGCCAGTCAGCTTCTTTATTTAACCAGTCACAATGACATATATTCACACAGTGTAAAGGAATGTTTCACAATTACATTTTTGGAATTATTAATAACAGTGGTTCTCAACCTTCCTAATGCTGCCAACTTTAATACAGTTCTTCATGTTATGGTGACCTCAGCCATAAAATTATTTCTATTTCATGACTGCAATGTTGCTACTGTTATGAACTGTAATGTAAATATCTGTGTTTTCTGATGGTCATAGACAATCTCTGTGAAAGGGTCATGACCAACGGAATGAGAACCTCTGTTTTGTATGCTCTGAATGCTACTCCCTTGTCAAATGCACATATTTAGGTATTCTTTTCCAGTCTATGTTACCTGTTTACTCTATGAATTGTTTCTTTCGATGATGTGCTGCGTTTAGTTCAATGTATCACCATTTGCCTATTTTTACTTTTGTCTCCTGTGCTTTAGGGTTATGTCCGAAAATTCTTCATCCAGCCACATATCTTGATGCATTTCTCCTATGTTTTCTAAGAGTCATTTGATATCTGTAAGGTCGCCATGGCGAAGGGGGAGGGAAACAGAAATGACTCCCCCTGCATTACAGAAGTCAGTAAGCCACAGGGAAGTGTCTTTTAAAATGGACTACCTCCGTGATGGGCAGGCTCACTCCATTGTGTCACCTCATGTATGCTGGCTGACTGCCACATGGAGAGATAT